AGCCCCAGATGGCCTGGAACTCACTATGTAGACCAGGCTGGCCTCAAACTCACAGAGATCCACCTGCCTCTGCCTCCCAAGTGCTGGGACTAAAGGCGTGCGCCACCATGCCCAGCTAGCTATGGCATTTTTATATTATCAATTTATATGTTTGCTTACAGGCCTATGAAAAGGCAGGTCTACCGACGGGGCAGAAAATAAGAAACTGGTGACAACCCATACCCTAATACATACAGAAGAATAAAACAAGAAACAGGCTAAGACACCCCAAGGAATAGCCAATGGGAGACCTCTCCAGAAGAGGCATGGAGAGGCCTAATCTTTTCTTTTTTGTGTTAAAAGGTGTTTCATTTTAGTTTGACACAGTTTGGTTTGGGAACTAAGGAATCAAACTTAAGGCCCAGTGCATGCTAAGCCCAAGTTCTACCCTTGGGCTACATTCCTAGCCCCTAAGAGATGTCTTTTAATTTTTTTATCCTGTTGGATATGGTTGTACATGTCCGTAAATCCCAGTATTCAAGAGATGGGACTTGAAAAGCACTTTGAAATATGGGGGAAAAAATTAAAACAGTACCAGTTCAATACAGGTAAGTCAGTCCCATCGTCCCTTACGGAGAACAGCCAACACATGGCTGTGGGACTGAGCTGAGAAGCAATTCAGCCTGCAGAATAAGAGTGTATCCAAGGCAGAACAAACTGACCTGAGGCAGAAGCCCTAACCCTAGGCACACACCCCAGCTCAGTCTGCCCTAGTCTGGATATATGAAACAGTCTCCAACCAGGTCCACACTGAATACTTTAGTTCCATTCAGTTTGGTCCAAGCAGGAATTGGAGCCTCCAGTTCAGGGTAGTTCAATAGTTACCAAAAAGGGCTAGAGAGATGGAGTCCAAAGGTTACACCTTTCTCTCTCTCTCTCTCTCTCTCTCTCTCTCTCTCTCTCTCTCTCTCTGTATGTGTGTGTGTGTGTGAGAGAGAGAGAGAGAGAGAGATCTAGAATTAGTTCATATTTTATTTTTAATTATGGGTATGTGTGTAGGTATGTGCATATGTATGAAGACAGATGCCCATGGAGGCTAGAAGAAGGCAAAAGATCCTCTGGAGGCAGAGTGCCAAGTGGTTGTAAGCTGCCCTGACATGGGTGCTGGGAATGGAACTTGGGTCCTCTGCAAGAGCAGTGTGCACTTTTAACTGCTGAGCTATTTCTCCAGTCCCTCTGGCTGAGTTCTTGAGGGACTGTTTGTTTCTTAGATTTGAAGCTTCATTTTTCCCCGTATTAGGAAAGGGAGTGATCCCTAGAAAGTGCTCAGGTTTACCACAGTGCTTGTGGAAGTACTTTATCCACAGACTACCTCGATCTCCAAGACAGGAAAGATAGCTTATAATAATGCAACAGCAACTGAGACTTGAAATGCTGGGTGTGGGGCAGGTCAACAGGGAGGCCCAGAGTGAAGCACTTCCTTCCCTAAGCTGTGGGCATCTACTTTCTGGGTCTCTCTCGGAAACTTTTTTTTTTTTTAATTATATGGGGCTGGAGAGAGGGCTCGGTGGTTAAGAGCACTGACTGTTCTTGCAGAGGACCTGGGTTTGGTTTCCAGCATGTAATGCATACATGTATGTAAGTGACTCATGTCATGTAATACCTGTAGAGGTCAGAAGAAGGCGTCAGATCCCCTGAAACTGGAGTTATGGACAGTTGTTAGCCGCCATGTGGGTGCTAGGAATGGAATCTGGGTCCTCTGCAAGAGCAGCCAGTGCTCTTAACCATGGAGCCATCTTTCCGGTCCACATCTTTCCATCTTTAACCTCCCTGTCCTGCCCTGGATCTCTCAGGCTCCTTTTGCATTGCTGTTTTTTCCTTTTTCTTTTTGAGGCAGGGTCTCCCTGTAGCCCTAGCTGGCCTGAAAATCACTATGTAGACCAGGCTGGCCTCGAACTCAGAGAGCTCCAGCTCCCTCTGCCTTTGCCTCTGCCTCTGCTGTAATTAAAGGTACCCAGCACCATGCCCAGCTTCTGCTGCTATTTTTGGTCAGTTTCACTGAGGAACTCCGTGAATTTTACATGTTCCTATAAAGTAACAATAGCAATTTTGAAACTCTTTAAGAGCCAAAGAGTGCAGGAGGAACTGGATGCCTTCCCCTTACTGGCACCCCTTTGCACATGAGTGTACCACCCTGGGTGTGGCTCTTTCAGCCCGAGTAGGACCCTCTGATGACTGCAGCCCAGAAAACATGGTCACTATAACCTTGTGAGACATCCCAGGCCAGGCTGCTCCCACATCCTGCCCCACTGAACCTAGGAAATAACGAGAGGAGTGAGGTTGTGTTTGTTTTTCTTTTAAGGCCAGGAGTGCCCCTCCCATCTCCAGGTGAGCTCAAGTAGCCAGTGATGCAGTGTGGGGGGTGAGTGGAAGAGGCAGTCAGGCACTCTGGATCCAAACGTCAGTGCTGTGCCACTGATGCCCAGAGCTGTGAAAGACACAGCAAGTCACATGTTACTGAACCTGACCACCCGTCCCCCAACCAGAAACACAGAAGTGACCACAGCACTTTCTGCAGAGGACACTGGGGAAGACTGCTGGTACCAGGGCAGCAGAGCTCCTAATAAGCTGTCACTGTTAATACCCACCTACTGCCCTTCATGTCCATAGGCTACAAGGTCCTGATTTCCTTTGTTCTAGTCTATCATTCACTTTCTTTGTTTTAGCTCTTCATTTTCCTCTGAGACTTTAGGCTGCAGCAGCAACAAACTGCACAAACCTTCCGGGATTCTGAGTATGGACACTGTACATGCCTGCAACCCCAGCACTACAGGCACAGGCAGATTACTGGGGCTCATTGGCCCCCAATCCAGCTCGAGCCTCAGTGAGAAACTCTCAAAGGAATATGGTGGGCAGTGACAGAGCAGGATACACCCTGGCTTCCACCCACACATGGGCATGCACTTCATACACACATCCACCACACCCACGCATACACAAAATGCACATGGCCGCAAACTCACACATATTGAGAAGATGAGACAGATGTGGTGAGATGTTAAGTGTGGATGGAGATGGAGGGTGGCTGGGCTGGGTGTTTATTATGTCACCCTTTCAATTTTCCTGTATGTTTGCAAATTCCATAAACAGTTTGAAAGGGGCTTTTTTAAAATTGGCAAGACTACTAAAAAATTAAAACACCGAGAACAGAACACCGATTATTCTCTCTTAAAAAAAGAAAAAAACTGAGCCAGGGGAGCCTTACAGCACATAATGGGACTAAAGAACCATTAGCTAACTGAGTGACAGACTGGAGCACACAGAGGCTGAAAGGCCCAAGTGTGGCTGGAAATCATATACGGGGATCTTAGTTATAAATAGCAGCCTCAGCCACTCACCTCTGGACCCTCTGGTTTCATTACAGCCATGCTGACGACTTTACAAAGGCCCCTTCTCTTCCAGCATGTCTTTCTACTGCTTAGAAAACAAGAGATCTAGCTGGGCCTAACTGACTCCTACAATACCAGCAAGGGCAGCACAGTCTACATAGTGAGTCCCAGGTCAGATTAGGTTACACTGTTAAGACCAGATTGTGATGTTGCACACTTTTAATTCCAGCACTCAGGAGGAAGAAGCAGGCAGATCTCCGGGCCAGGCTGGTCTACATAGTGAGTTGCAGGCCAGCTGGGGCTACAGGGAGACCCTGTCTCAAAATTAACTAAAATTAAAATTAAAATTAAAAGTGACTCTTAAAG